CCCCACCTCCCATTTTTCCAACCCCTAAAAAAAATAGTAACCAAACACGCAAAAGAACAAATAAACAAACGAAGAAACAGACAAAGAACAAAGAAAAATAACCTAAAAAACTAAACGTTGTTTCTTGCAAACCGCTACCCAAGAATTCTGCACCGTACGTAGTTTTGTGAAATTTCACGTCAAAGATTTAGAGTTTCACACAATGTCAAACTGTTTTTCGAATGCAATAATTCTTTGATTAATATTTTCTTTATAACGACTCCGAATAGATCTAATCTTTCTATTTTGATAGAGCAGATAGAACATTTAGGGGTTTTTTATCTTGGGGTCTTAGTAACTCAAAACAGTCCGGACCTCAAAAGAGTCAAAACGTCAGATAGAACTAATTGTAATTCTGAGATAGCGTCGTTTCCTCGCCTCACCCGAGATGTAGGTAGGTATTATCGCCACAAGCGCAAGAAGCCCGAGGAGCTTCATAGTTGCTGGCTATGGTTTCGCTTCTGGGTCTGACGACAGCAGACTCCGTCGAACTGACCACTGGTTTTTGCATTCAGGCTTCTTTTATACGACACTCTAAACTGCGTACGTGGACAGCTTTTGTCTGGAATTCACGCCCAATGTGTTTAATCTAAATTGTTTTGTTGCCAATATCGCCCTGGTCAAAAGGCATGGTAGATTAAGATCTTACCCTGGAATGTGAACACGTTGCAAAGCAGGGGCTAACTAGCAATGATTGACCACCTGGACCAAAAATCGAAGATCAGGGAAAGCTTAATTATTTTATATGCCCCTAAAAGAGTGCAGACAAGACAGAATTTTTTTAGCATTTATTGGAAGTCGGATACCTAACACGGAAGTCCTTCAACATTGAAAAGTAATTTTCAAATGCGAATGAAGTCGAAGTTGGCAAGTCAAATCTTTCGACTTTGATAGTCACATTATCTGTGTGCACACACTTACTTAATCAACGTCAACTTTAGAGTTTCATAATTTGAGGAGAATTTCTTTTAACACAAAGATTAGTCATAACAGTAAGCGGAGAAGGCTGTAGGACAATAGGCAGTCGTTCGACTCCATAGCAAAGTATGTGCCTGGTGGGATACCTGGTTCGCGAAGGTGTTGTTGTTATGGAAGCTGATATTATTCGTCATTAGTTTCATACACTTTAGATCACTGGTTATTCTAGTTTAGTCGAATGAAACTTAAGTGAGAACAAAAGTATCAGTAGAGTCAAATATTTTACTGAACAAATTTGCAACCAAAAAAACCCCAACAACACACAAACTAACACACAAACAACTTTCCACCCCTTCCCGCAAATGCACACACTCACAAAATACTCCTTTAAAATAAATAAACCGAACTCTCAATCGAGATGTCATGAGAGTGTTTTCCAAAAAAATATCCCCCCAAACAAAAACAAAAACACACAAACTCTCTCCCACCCCCCCCCCCCCTCTTTACAATCTACTGCATTTTCTTTTTCATTAAAGATGAGTATTTTCTTCTTACTTTTTTTCTTTCTTTACTTTTTTGGATATGTTTGAGAGCAGTGAGGACTCCTTTGGGGGATCTATTTGTTTCTCCCCGTCCGATACGTTTATTTGTTTACTTTAGGTTCGTTCTTGTAGTTTGTTTGTTTGTTTATTTGTTTATTGGTTTGGTTGGTTGGTTGGTTGGTTGGTTGGTTGGTTGGTTGGTTGGTTGGTTCGTTGGTTAGTTGTTTTTTCGGGGGG